AACCAGTTTCTGAAAGCCCAGCACAGAGGGGAGTCCTGATTGTAATTACTGTTTACCGAGACACGCTGATGCAACATGAATTCTTATTCAGTGTGGCGCATATTTAAATTGATTCGACCTGAGCAAACCGTGTGTGTCCGCTTTTCAGCTTCCTGCAGAAAGTGTGTGTGATGCGAGGAGACAGTGGAGCCTCCTCACATCGAGGCCGCCAATTGTTTATCTGCTTTAAGTCCGCTACACTTGGTATGAGCATAAATGAATCGATTCGGGATCAATGTTATATCTGGGGTACGGGCCGGATTCTGCTGATGCTCACAAAAAAAGAAAGTGAGATGGAGAATCGCAGAAATGTTTCTTGTGACAGTGAACAATTGGACCTTTGGAGGTTTCCGACAGCTGTGACGGACAGCTCTGTGGTCTATAGATGTCAGCACTTTTTTTTTAAAGGGATTTTTATGCTGCACGGTGTCATACCATAGATTACTGTGTGGCAACCTGGGGGCCAGACAGTTATTTCCCCTTGGCTTTCGTTTTGACTGAAAGTATTGCCAAAAATTAACCGATTTGTGGGTTATTTCTGAAATATTCAAAAGAAAATGCAGCTGGGGAAACTGAAAAACAATGCTGCTTGACTCACTATTGGCTGGCTTTTGCAAAGCAACCAATCCAGGAGCATCATTCATTTTCCTTGACTGGCTGTAAACTCAGAAGTGACGATAAGGAAAACTGTAGATGTTAGCTTCTGTGGTACATCTGGTGTTTGAACTACATGTAACTGAATAGTTAAATTGCAAGTGGCTAGCTACTACAAAAACCAGGGGTCCACTGCACTGTCAATCCTTTACCCTGCTGTTTAAACATGGTTGAAAAAAGGAAGCATGTTTTTAACTGTAAGCTTCAATATCCCAAAAACCAAAGGCCTGAAGCAGGATGAATGGTGAAAACCTTTACCACTCATGTGTAAGTTAGGAAGGTAAGGTAAATTAGATGTGTTGATTAACTGAATATCAGTGAGTCCCACCTTTGCCTTTCTATGGTATTCCACTCAATTCTCATTTCCCTTCAGTGTTCTGTCTGGGATTTCCCCCACTGAGCTAGATTTCTCAGGATGCATTTCATCCTGGCCAATCAAAAAGGAAGAGTTGTGAATGGTGATGTTGAGTTCCTGCGCTGTTTTTTGTATTGCAGTCTGTCTCTAGTTGTGACATGGCAATGGCAGCGGAGGAAGCGATTGAAGCCATTCAGTCCTTGTTAGCCACGCTTCCAAATATTGAGCAATTAAAGTCAGCGAGAGGAACGTTGAAGACGTTTTATTGCTGGTTAACATTTCGTTCAGCTTGCCACTTCTCTCTTCCCAGAGAGGAATGGTTGCAGATTTTTCCTTCATTGAGCTGGTAAGACAAGGACCACAGGCCCCAATGCTAACTTCATATCTGTAACATAGACACACAGTAGTCAGGGCTTGGCTGCCAGTCCTGTCCCTCCTGTGGTATGTGTTAGGTTGTTGGTTTAGCATGATTTAAGCTATGCGACCCCTGCTCGGTTGAATTCTGTAATGGAGTACGCAACCGCGGAATGCGTGGAGGCGCTATGTCAAGGTGAAACAGACGGAAGGAGTGACGGCCAGGATGGGAGGCTTGGCGTGTCACAGAGGTCTCTGCAGCCATCAATTTGTCAGAACGTCACCTGACTCTCAGCTGGTTGTAATAACCCCGCACATAAACACACATTGAATCCCGGGGATAAGCAAAGCGGTTTTGGCTCAAGGTGATCACTAATGTATTTTGTAGCGAAACAGGTGTTTGGCTGAAAGCTGTTGGTGTTATTGGAATCTGTCTATTAATTATTTATATAAGGTTGTCTGTTTCCAGTGATGACACAAATGCAGTATGCAAAATGCTTAGCTCTTCTCATTATTACCACAGTGCATGCCTAACTGGTGCTGGCATGCACTGCCTCTTGTTGCTCTGTGGCACTTTGTGCAATGAGGGTTTAAAATGTGTCTCAAGTGGCAGCTTGTTAATGAAACTTTGTAAACTGATCAGTCTTTTAACCCTGAAGACTCAACATCAGCAGTAGCTAAATGAATTGCTAAAACCTTTTGGTATATGCAGTAGAATGGGAATCTTTAGGTGAAGTCCTGGGTCAATAAAAGACTGTCAGGTTTTCCAACGATAGTAGCCAACAAGGTAAACGTTGACTATGTTACCCTACTGACACAGTGTTGTCAACCTACTTTACTTAAAGATCAGAAAACAAGTGGACTTTTGAGTTTCCAGTCAAATGGAGTCCAGTCTGGGATGATCAAGCTGAAATTCGGGCAAGTTAAATTTTAATCTGACATTACACAACATCCCACGAAAGAGGTAAGAAGTGCCTGTTCGATGCCACAGTTGAAAACGGTTTTATTTTTCTATCTTTCAGACATATTGGTTGAGCTGCTGTGTACCTTTGAGCACATAGGGAGGTACAGCTAATAGTGAACTGGGCATGGCTTACCCTCAGATAATGACTCATACCCCCAAGTTTATCACTACATCCAATGACATCCAATCTTATTGAAGGACTTGCCTGTTCACTCACACAACCCCAGCTGATCGTTCTAAAGTCCTCCTGCATCTCCTTTACTTCTAAAGTCAAGCTTTTCTCTCTCTGACCACACACTCAAAGCACACACAGGCCTCATTTTCTCGTCTATGCTCTGCCAAGCGACGTGAACTAGTTAGAAACCGCATTACCACTGAAACCTTGAGAAACAGCAAGGGCTCTACGTTCTGAGGATCCCAAGTGGGAATTGCACTTATTTGTTTTCAGGGATGAAGAAGACTGACAAATGAACCCCCGTGGGAGGGAAGCTGGCGGATACTACTCCTTTCTTCTTCTCCGCTCTGCGCGGCCCTGGAGTGTTCATTATGACCAGAATAGACACCTTCTTTTTAGCGTGTTAGCACATTCTCAAAACAAGCCGTGGACCTGAGGGACGCCGGGGTGCAGCGGGAGAGTGGGGAATTCCTCCTCTCCCCCCGTCTGCCGCGGTGAAGTTGTTTGCCGGCAGCAGTCTCTCTTGACCGATAATAACATTTGTAAGTGGAGAAGATTGACGTGGATTAGGGAGACTGCTGCTTACTTGGTTGCTCATGCACATGAGGGCTGAGTGGATGGTTTCGTGCTGAGGTGGTGCACATGACAGGAAAGAAAAAAGACTAACTTTGAAGCTCAGGATGTGCATTTTGAGCAGTTGTTTGTACAAGTAACCAAGCCTGGTGCAAGACTCAGTGCGTCCTGATTGGGATCTATCAACAATGGCCTTCTCTGACCGTTACAATCAAACCAACTTTCTTCGAGCTTCACATCAAGTGATGTTATTTTCTCATCATTGACTTGATTATTTTGTGCGCGTTTGAGGAATCCTTTAATTGTTTCAAGCGCCTGGCTGGACCTAGCGCTGCCTTCGAGATGAAGCTCCTCCTACTGAGCTGCAGTATCCAAGCTTTCCAGCTTCTGCCTAACAGAGGAGCCCTCCAATGCGACTCTCGCAGTCTGCTCCTTCAGACTAGCCAGCAGCATTTAGCAAGCACCTGGGAGAACTGCGCATCTGCTGAGCTCATCATACGAGCTGAAACATTGCTAAAGAGGAACAGTGTTGCGATGACTTCCTAAAAGCAGTTTCAGAGAGAACGTGAGTTTTTAAACGAACCAATTTTGAGCTGTTCATTTACGAAATCAAAGTCATATTTGACATATGTTGAATTTTTTATAACATGCTCTAAAATGGCACCATGTGTCAGGAAAATACATACTGCCCTTTTTTAATAACATCACCACCTGTACATGGAGCTGTGAGTCCTTGCTGTGCATTTCTTTGCTAATGACGGCGCTCGCTCCCGGTGGAGTTGGGCTGGTGGGAGAGTTTTGTCAGGGAGATGGAAGCCCCCAGTGACAGCTGGCTGCTGTCTCCACCCAGGGGACCTGGGGCCCATATACACCTTTTTGGCAGGTAAAGGATTTAGTTGGCTTCAGGAAGTGGTGGGGGAGGGAGAGCCCCTTGCCAGAACCCCATGAGGCCCCGGGAGCGTTAATTACAGTTTATGTATGCGCTGTCATCCCCCATGAGCCTCTCTGCCTCTAGAGCTGACTGCTGATGTCTGAGCACTTTGTTCTGTTGGATGAGGTCCCTGCAGAGGAATACCCTGGATGGAGCTTATTATCTATTGTTCTGTGTGGCTTCAACAGCACAGCTGTTATTACTCTTTCGCTGGATTAATTTGCATGTTAGTGTTTTTAATAGCATGTTTGCTGCAATTACTGACGTTTTATCAAACAAAATCTCACCAGACTGACTAGAATGATCATACGTAATCAGTTACTTCACAGTCAGTGTTTCTAACCTTAGCTTAACCGTTGCTCCTTGTGTAACAGCTGAAACCTTCACTGTTATTATACATCAGGGCTGCAACTAACGATTGTTGTAGTAACCAATTATTCAGAATATTAATTGATTAATCAGCAAAAATTTGATTCTAAAGATTTTTAATCTAAACAATCTTTTATATAAGATACATAAAAAATAGAAGTATAACATTAAACATTCATCAGATGGATCTGTTTGTGTTTTTAGTGAAGTTGGTGATGACGATGATGATGATGGTGATGATGGTGATGATGATGATGATGATGACTGATTCTCCATGTTTTTTCTGAACCAGATGCAGGGGATTATTGTTTAAAACTTATTGCAATTTTTTTATAAAAATGAATTGTACAGATTGTAAGGGAAGTATTAGTGAGTAAAGTTTAAATTAAAAATTTATTTGCTGCCAATAATTACCAGAATTGTTTATAATAAATATCTGACACAATTTCATGTCAGATATTTCTATTTCATCTGGATTATGAATTTATTCTAGTTCTTGTTCTCTGTTTATATCAGTTTTGGTCCAATCGTTTTTACTAAAAGTGTTTTTTTTTCCTGCTTCGTCTACTTTGTGTGTTTTTCATAGGTCCAGATTTTGGCATCAATGCTCTTTCCACCAATGGCAGCCAGGAGCCTCACGGCCCGGGCCTCCTCAAGGTTTCAGGCCTAGAACGGAGTCAGGAAAGGAGTCAGGAGAGCTGCAGGGACCCTCAGCTTCCTGAGTCCACCACCTTAAGTCCAGCTCTCGCCTTGCCGCAGCCCGAGGTCTCCGTCGCCCAGACCCCGGCCCCGCTGCAGACCCCAACAAACAGCTCCGCCCAGGCTCCGACTCCGGCCCCGCCTCTTCCACGCTCCGAGGCTCCCGCCGCCCCTCGGACCCCTGCAGCCCTGCCTCTTGCCCAGAGCCAGGAGACCTCACCGCCTCCTCTTCCCCGACCCCAGCCACAGCCAGAACACCCTGCCCACACAAGACCTCAACCAACACCGAGTCTTCATCCCCACCCTCCGTCCCCCGCCCTTCCTACCCACAACCCCCACCAACAGCACCCCAATCAGGCGGGGCCTCATCGGCCCCCATCACGCTGCCACCCCAGGCCCCTTTCTGCTTACAACGGCCTCAACCTTAACGGCCACAGGTAATGCATCAAAACATCAAGATCTCAACATTTCCACAAACGCTGAGCTGAAAGCCTTTCTGGCCCGGCTAATTTAAGCTGGTGGTGTCCAAACTTTTTGGACTTTGTCTAAAATCTCTGAGTTAAATGCACTTTTTTCCAATTAAAAAACATGCTAAGAAACTGTAAATATTACATTTTTGTGATTTAAACATGCATTATTTTTCAAAAAGCAAAGTAGAAATGAACAATTTTTTTTTTCAGGTTTCAAATCTTTTCAAACCTGTTAGTCTGATAGACTTGGTTTGATTGGGGATCAAAGTTGCAACTTTTGTTACATTTTGTTGCGGTTCACATTCACACTGCATTGTGTCAAACAAACCAAACCCTTTATAAAAGCTCTGAACAAGACATGAATGCAACTTCCTCCTTCACAAAATATGGAGTGGCGTCAGATTTTAGCGGATGTAGGATTTCTCATTTGTCTTTGGATTGTGGTATCTTTGGCTGATGCCCAGAATCGTGATCGGCCAAAATCAGAAGCGGCAGGTCAGGCTCTTTGAAGATCAGTGATTGCTGATCAGCCAGACAACTGTGATTAGTGCACCCCTACTTCGGACACCCCTGATTTAAGCTATCCCTTGGCTACGTTTGACATTCCTCAGCTGTGTTTTATTGTGTTATTTGTGGTTTACATTTCTGAATGGGAGCAGAACTGAAATAGCCATGCGGTCTAAATATCTAAATCCTTCACTGTAAGGATTATTTTCCCCATATTACATAAAGCCTATTGTAGCTTTCCAATTTATCTGTTCAGACAAAGCATAATCAAGCTTGATTTATTGTCCATGCGAGTCCACTGGGTCCTTTACGGCTGTTGGTAATCTAAGACTTCTTCAGAATCAACTCGGTCCCATCATCAGCTTTGCCTCACGGGCTCCTGGGACTTGGCTTTGCCCGCTCCTCGCTGCGCCAGCTCCAAAAGCCTGCCAGCATGGCAACACGGCCTGGCACCCGCTGTGAATAATCACGGCCGGGGCCCACCGAGAGGAGCGAGCGCTGCAAATGAGCTTTTAGGCTTAAAGCAGGGAGCTGCGGAGACGCAGGCTCTGTGACTGCCCCTGGGGAGAACCCACACACACCACAAAAGGCTGTTTGCTAACATGCTTGCGCACGCTCTCTATCCCTCTCATCCCATTTCTGATGCACATGTTCCCTACCTGGCTCTGGAGGAAGTGCTTTAGCGGGAGCTGTTCAAAGACAGATGCTCAGTCTGTGGTTTGCCAGTGGCGCTTCATTTGCATCCGAGGGTGTTGCGAATTTGGTGTTTTCACAGATCCGGTTAGCCCTGGATTCTGTGAAAACACCAGAGTGAGGCAGGGAGGAGATTGTAAATGGAAGGCAGCGGAGGTGTGAAAACAGCGTACTGGGAATTGAATGTGGAAACAGATGGAGACGCGGGGATGTGCAGTAACAAGTGTTAAATTTGTCTAATCGTGCCTGGCTTAACTTTGGCTTCCTTCTTCCCTTCCTGCTTTTTCCATTTCCGCCACCAGCAGCAGCAGCAGGAGCAGCACCCCAGGCACCAAGCTGCACGGATCCTCTGCTCCCGCCTTGCACCTGTCCAACCAGCCGCCTGCTCCGACAGCCGCCGCCTTCCCTCTGTCTCTGGCGGCCAACCAGAGCGCCCCCCACAGCTTCCCCTCTGCGCTGCAGTCCTCGCCACATCCTCATCACCCCAATATGTTTGCGACTCCAGCAGCATTGCCTCCACCACCACCACTGACATCGAGCACCCTGCCGGTAACTGGACATCCCACTGCTGGGAGTGCCTATTCAGGTAGGCCACAAGCTCCTTTGGAAACAATGTCGCCCCCAAGTGGTGTGTCAGGGGACTTTCCCATAAAAATAAAAACAACATTTTAAAAAAAAGAAAATAAACGTTGCATGACATTTAGAATGTTTTAGGATTTCAAAGCATCTGATCTAGAAATATTAATATTTTTATCATTCCAGATAGTGGGGGAAAATAAGGACAGATCTATTCAGTGTAATTCTATGCTATCTGCTCTCACAGGAATATCTAAAACGTGGACTGGGTTGAAGTACACTGCTCAGAAATGACTTAAAACAAATTCTGAAACAGGAGAGGTATTTATTACGTCTTTAAAAACATAAATAGGAGGAGACATAAAAGGTAGGGGCCATAAAACCAAGAACCACCACTGTACAAACTGACAGCCAGGGGACTTTGCAACAGTCAGGTCAAATGTCATGACACAATGAAGAGTGTTTATTTCCATTTTCACCAGCAAAAATGTTCATGAGGAAGATGCCAATTTATTCTGTGCAGAATAAATGGATTTGGATTTTGCTAAAAAAAAAAAAAAAAAATTCTCATGAAGCGTTTATGAGGAGAAAATTCAACCAAATAAAGTTGAAAATGAAAATGTATATCGCAACAGTTCACAGAGGAACAGAAGTGAACAGGTTGTCCTGGAGGAGAGAGTCTCTCACGTCAGAGTTTGTTGAATTCAGAAGTTAATTACTAGGACACCCATTCTTTCTCCACAGGCTGCATAAAGATTATTAAAACAGCAGATGCTGCTGCCTCAGAGGGGCCACGGTGTGTGCAATCAAAAAAGCGTTTGACTGGTCAGACAGACCGCATCAACTTGAGCTTTGCTTAAATTCAGCGTGACACGCCGATGACCCTGTTCCATTTCCTGCTTCTTTCTTCAGTTGATTTTTTTGTCATGGTTTAGTGGCTTCCTGTTAATTGCAATGATGTTTTTACATCTAATATCATTCAAGGCATAGGGAATGTGCAGAAATGATGACTCTGGAGCAGTGTTAGTCTAATACATCCTTAAGTGAAAATAACATATTAAGATTGGACTCCTTCCAATATTGCTGCAATTTATCTGATTAACCAGCAAGTTACGATATTAACAAAAGTTGTCCAAGGTGCAACTGAAGACTTTTCTGAAATGAAAGTTATATCTTACTAGAGAGATAAATAACATGAAATCACACAAGTTAATCTATGGACTGTTCCAAAGTACCGACAGGGTCTTTCGGTGTGGTTGTTGTTACTTGGGGACCGGGTTCACACTTGCTATTTTTAGCAGCAGTGGAGTGTTTAAAAAAGTTGAAGAGGCTTCCAGAACTAAAATTGTATTTCATACCACATGTCACGGCATGTTTGTGGTTCGTTCAATCCAGAGCCAGAGAGACTTTTTGCAGTTATCTGGAAGACTAAATGTAAGGGAACATCACAGCTTTAGTAATGCTGGCTGCTCTAAACTCCAGTCATTTCTCAATAAATTTGTTGAAGACAGTTTCAACTTCTACTCTGTGATCATTCTTTGTTTTACAGTGAGTCGACTTTCTCTCACACACACGGTGTGACGTCACCTCTGCTCCTAGCATAAATCGTTAACAAACGTGTCACTCCACAGTCTGTCTGGAAAGCACAATCCGTACCATTAACTCATTTGCGCATCTGCCGAAAGCGATCCACCCAGGAGGATATTTTTATTTCTTTTTTTTGTTTGTTTCTATTTCACTGCGATCGTAAAAATAAAGAGTACGAGTTAAAGAGAGTGGCAACAAATATAGATTAAAAAAACAATAATAAAGGTGGAGTGATAAGTTTGCTTCCCATGAACAAACTGGATGCAGTTTTGTACAGTCTGATAATAAGAAGTCATTTTAAAAAATGTGCGCATTATAAAAGTAGAGGTCTTCTTTGGTGAGTCCACCAGAGGGCGCATTGACAGCGTGAGTAGTTATGCAATTTTCCACTGAAGTTTAATATTTAAATTGTGACAATCATCGTCCGTTAATTAGGTATTTTTATAGCAATTTTTTTTTTAATGACAGAAATCAAAGTGTGATTTTACAAATATTGCATAAATCTGCCTCGAAAGTTTTAAGTTTGCATCTTTCAATAATAACGATTTGTTGTTCTTAGGTGAGTTTGTGTTTATTATGGATCACACAACAGAGTAAAAAGTTTTGATTGATTAACATTCCAACATCAAGCCAATACTAAGTGTGTGTCCGTTTTCCTCTAGAGAACCTGTTCCTTCAAGTCGCCTGATTCACAAACCGGCTCTTCCTCTCGTTTCCAGAACAAGACCTTCTCCGTCAGGAGCTCAACACCCGATTCCTGGCCTCTCAGAGCGCAGACCGCGGTGCCTCGCTGGGCCCACCGCCCTACCTGCGAACGGAGTTCCACCAGCACCAACACCAGCATCAGCACCAACACACCCACCAGCACACGCACCAGCACACCTTCACGCCCTTCCCCCACGCCATCATGCCCACCCCAGCACCACCCATGGTGCGTACCCCAACCAGAAATGTGAGGATAAGTAGAACACGCCGTTGTTGGGTTCAAGGGTTTTCAGGCCTGTGTTTTAATGATCGCTGTTATAAAGGGGGGAGGGTGGAGGCGGTTTGTGGTTGTGAGAGCAAAGATTTTACACCATCTGGACATGGTGTGCCAGCAGCATGCTGCGGTGAGCTGTGGGGTACTGAGGGTTCCCTGTCGGTTTCTTCTATGATGACCATGTGTTCGCTACAGCAGCTCCTTTATTCTCACAGAAAATCTTTTTTCTCTCTTTATTTCTTTTTTTTTTTTGCCGTTTTTTCTGGCAAACTCTGAAACTCCAGGCTTTGAGTGCTGTTATTTTCTAAATTGGAAATAAGTCGCCCAAAGCATGTTAAGTTCAGAGCCAGCTTTCAGAACATAATACACTTAATTCATTCTGAATTTAATGACATCATTTGGTCCCGTTTGGGGGTTTTCATTACTGGCAAATGTGCTGCACCAGAACCACTGCTGTCTGTTAGGGACGACCACAGGCAATGGGTGCCCGACATAAATACTCACGCATTCATAACTGCGTGGCCCGCAGAGCATGGGCTTGGCTCTAAAGATACCTCAAAGGCATCATGGCGAAGCCTCTGACAGCTAATGAGGCCATAAAAAGCCTCTTTATGGCCACAGTGTTTAGTCTCGACTGTGGAAATGTCCGCCCTGGGCCTGCAACCAAATGAGAGCCAGCCCACACTGGTTTACAAGGTCTTCACATGATCACAAGCAGGGAGAATAAAAACAGGCTGGCGTTGAGGGCGGCTTAACTCGAATCTTATTTCCCGTCTTCGATCTTGTTTTGTTTGCATGTCCTTGGTCCTCGAATGTAGTTTGTTATGTCTGGAGTCCCGGTAACACACACGTGAGCCGTTTGACCTCTCCTCTTTACACTTCTGTACTCAGCTCTCTTTCGTTTCTCCTGCAGTTTGACAAATACCCAACAAAAGTCGATCCCTTCTACAGACACAGTGTGAGTTTCCCTACTGTCTACTATCTCAGTGTGCAACTAATTGTTGCTTTCCTGTCATACCACTGCTCCTGTTGTCGCTCTGTGTGTGTGTAGCTGCATTTCCATTGACTATTTAATCATGCAATTTGATTTTTCAAGCATAAAATCACTTAATGCGACAAAAGTGTGTCCAATTTCAAAACGGCCTTGGAAACCGCCTCATCCTAGTTCCAGAACTTTCAATCAAAAAAGTTTTTCAAAATTGTTGTGTTTCTATTAAGCAAGTTCGTTTTCAAAATGTCATATTGCGCAGTGGAAACACAGCTACTGACTGCTTTCCTTTGCCGCAACATTTCATCCTTCAACATCGCCTGTAGTTGCCACTTGTGAAGCAACAGCAGAAACCAGAGCATGAGATTTTCTATCTCTGCAAGTTGAGAATTATATCAGGCATAACCTCTACCCTTGTGTGCCAACGCTGTTTGTCTTCATTTTTTTCAATGCACTGTTTTTAAAGCTGACAAATGCTTTGAAAATCGCTCAAATCCAGAAGCCATTGTTTACATAACTGCTGCATCGCTCATGGTTAAAGAGCACAAACTGAAAAGTGATGTGTTGGACCAGAGCGGGGCGTAGCAAGTGGTCGATTAAACATCCATCGCTAAAAGATAATATATGTAAGCCTTTGGCACTTGTTTGGTTTGCATGCGATTTGCTTGTATTGCAACATTCTAATTTCCATATCAAAGGGATGTTTTCCTCCAATTTATTAAATCTAATGTAAACAAGCAGAGAAGAGTGTTTTTACATCAGTTGGTGGAACATGTCAGCAGTCACGCTGAGCCGTTTAAATCCACAGAACTCCCGAGTTAACGTCAGTCTGCTGAATCTATCTGAATATTAACTGTTTGCTCCATCTCCTCACCCTGGTGGAAACGTCCATGAACCTTCTCTCTTTCTTTTTTTTTTTTGGTCTCCAGCTCTTCCACTCATACCCTCCAGCCATGTCTGGCCTCCCGCCTGTCATTCCTCCCACCGGGCCCTTCAGCTCCCTGCAGGGAGCCTTCCAACCCAAGGTAAGACACCAACAAGAGTATCGCAACGTCTCACTTCAAATTTATTAAAATGTCGACAATTTTTCTGTTTGTTTGCTTCCTAATATTTTTTCTAGTCACTCAAATTTGTAGAGATGCACCAATCAGACTTTTATGGTCGATATCTGATCGTCTTTGGCCAAACATTACCAATATTTCTATCCCTCCTTAGGAACTTTGATGTAAGAACACATAAGAAGGGCATTCCAAGATATTTTTCTACAGTGGGGGCAGAGGTGACATCATGTTACGTGTGTGAGAACAGAGCTAAGGTGTATTTAGTGTTAGAACTTAAAATAGGAAGTTAAAGGTGTTTATACTATTTTGGACAGCCTTGGCTGCTAACTTTGTAATTACCAGGTGTCGCCTGTGATACTTTGAGTGAATTTACCATCACTCTGAGATTCTCAAAAGCCTGCTAACATCTCCAAATCCTGTTTCATGACGTACAAAGAGGTCAGAAGCTCAAAATAATAAAATGTGGCAAGTTAGCTATGGTCCATTCAGCCTTCCTGTTGGAAGTCTTGGTTGCTCTCTCAATCTTTTGTAGTTTGAATGAACCACAGAAATGTCTTGGCATCCGTCCTACATTTATCACAAAAACTACATCTTCATTTTGAAAAAAAACTTTTACATCTCTGAGCTTTTTTTGATTTCATTTTTAAACATATTTTAAGTCTGTTTTGCATAACCGCCCAAAAAATCATCAGTGCCATTAGCATTTAGGTTTGGTGGATTCATAGATCGAAAAAGGTCAAACTTTTCAATCATCCAATTCTGGTCACCCGTCACCATTTCTTAACGCATCTCTAAACATTTCATACTGTCAGGGTTTTTTTTTGTGTGTGTGCGTGTTTCCTTTAAATTAGTCACAGCCTACCACAAATTACATTCAAAACTCTTAACCGATCAATCAACATCGTTTGCATTGTAGACCTCCAACCCGTTGGACGTGTCCAGCAGACCCGGGGCGGTCCCTCACACGTTCTTACAAAAGGACCCGAGGGTGAGAACGTGTGCTATGGTCAGATTCATGTTTCAACACTAAATAATGTCACTGTGGAGTCAGTTTGCATCTTTTTCTCTGTCTGTCCTGTAGTTAACGGATCCGTTTCGGCCCATTCTGAGGGTGAGTCATCTCAGTCCTTGCATTGCTGCGAACACACAAACAGCCATTATACTTTAAGAGTTTTCTGATTAGCTTTAGACTGAGTGGTGGGTGGTATCAATATCAGATGTGTTTGGAGGTAAATGCAGAATCAGGATTTAGAAATCTTTATTTTTCTCTCTCTCCCAATAATATGCTCAGCACAAGGCCATGAAAAAAAAAGCTATAATCTGTTGTAATTGCCCCACCACCTTTGTTTTATAACCAATCATTGTAATTTTGTTTCACGGCATCCAGTCTACAAAATGTGCACGGACTAAACGAGTGTTGCTCTTCCTTTGGAATGTTGTATAAGGAGTCGAACGTAAAAAGTCCTTATTCAAGCAAATCTGAGCCGTGATTAGATTTTCAATCTGGAATGTCTGTCCTATAACAAAGGAAAGCTGCATCGATGCAAGTAAAAATTGAAAAAACTTGCATGTCGATTTATTCCTCAATTGTTCAACTCTGTATCACAGCTAGTAATTTTAATTCCATACAGTGAAATTAGAAATATAATATTCTTAAAGGATTACTTTAAGATGAAGTTTTCTGCCGGGCGTTCTGCGTGTTGTGGTTGTTTATTTGATGGGTTAGTGACTGTGTTTGTCTCGTGGCCACAGAAACCTGGGAAGTGGTGTGCCATGCATGTCCATATCGCCTGGCAGACGTATCACCACCAACAGAAAGTGAAGGTGAGAGCTCATCTAACTGTCTCTCAATAGTTCCCAACCAGTTTTGATAGTCGTTAATAATCATTACCTTTCTGTGAACTGAAGTCAAATTCATGATATCGAAGTTATTCTAAATGCTAGGTGAGGCATATCGGCTCTTTGTTGGGTGGGCTGGCAATGCAACAAGCAGCTTCATACAACACAAACATTTTTAAACAACATGCTTGACTTTTGTATGTCATCAGAACTTACTTTTACTTTCCATGCCTTAAGTCCGAACTGAACTTGGAAAGAAATCTTTTTCAGTTTTCTGCTCCATCTTCTTGGAACCAGTTGCAGCAACATATGAATCTAAAGGCGACGTTTTTTTTTTTTTTTTTGCTGATGTTGAGAAGGAATTATCTGCCTTTAAATGTTTTAACTCAGCAATCTTTTTACTCATTTATTAATGACTATGTTAACTTTTTTCTGTTTTCTGTCTGGACAAAACAGAAAAAAAACTCTGTGCTGCTGCCAGGCTTCTCTTGTAAAATAGCTGTTTAATATAATGGGATTTTCCTGGTGAAATAAAGGTTAATAACAGTATTATTAATAATAATTGTCCCTTTGGAGGCTGAACTTCAAGCACCTCTTGTATCCATTAGCGAGATCTTGGCAAAATGCTGGGTATTTGACTACTTTGCTAATCAGAAATAATAAAGCTCAATTATGTTGGTTGGGTTTCCTGCCACGGACTTGGCTTTTATAGTCTTGTTTAAATGTTTCCAGTTTTAATGTGTTTGGGATTATTGCTGTGTTGGAACACCTAATTGTGAAGTTTGAACCAGCTGTTGATTTGAGGTGAAGTTGAAGAGTTTTTGTTACCCCCCATGGTGCTATAGCTGAATAGGGTCTTCTCTTCTGCACTGTATCCTCTCCTGACATTACAATATAAAACTGGAAACGGTATTTGTTTCCTGTCTTGAACAGCATCATTATTTGGTCTGCCGGTTCAAACTTGGACATGGTTAGGTGTTCCGGTTATCTCACAAGCGCACCACAAGTGGTTTTGGGGATAAATGAGGCTTACAAAAGCCTCATTTATCATCAGCCCTGTTGAAAATATGCAGAGTGACGTCACAGACCAGCTTCATGGCAAGAAAACACCCAACTTACATGAAGTCTACCATTTCTGAAGATAAGAGTGGTCATATATTCAGTCAGAGAGAAAACAGAGGAAGTCCCGTCTAACATGCGTTTCTGTGTCGATCTGGCGTCTTCCAGCAGCAGATGCAGGTCGACCCTCACAAGCTAGACTTTGGCCTCAAGCCCGAGTTCCTCAGTCGACATCCAGGCCCCAGCCTGTTTGGTGCCATCCATCACCCAAGTGACTTGGCACGGCCTGCTACGCTCTTCTCTGCTGCAGGTCGGTCGTATATGTCATGTTTAACAGTAGGAAGCAGCTTTCCTATTGAGTCGACTTTTATTAACAACAATCAGCTCTAAGTTGGTAACATCATGGTGTTTGGTCGTCTCGTCCTCTTCAGGTCCTACCCACCCATCAGCTGCTCCCTTCGGCCACCCTCCCCCTCATCCAGGAAACTTCCTCACCCCAGCATCACACTTAGGCAAGAGGACTCTCCCCTTTGGTTTGTTCCAGGAAATGAAACATTCCCTTGTTAATTAAATGTGAAGTAACATGTTATTTCTGTGCCTCGCCACAGAGCCTTTCAATAGGCCGTCATCGTTTGGAGGACTCGGGTCTCTCAGTTCATCGGCCTTCGGGGGGCTTGGAAATCCAGCACTCAGTGAGTTTCAGCCTCGCGATGAGCAGTTTGCTACGACGTGACGCATCAGACACCGACATAGAGGAGAGAATAATCGAGATACGCATTTAACTTGTGTCCTGTTGTGTTTTTTCCACGTGTTGAATCCCTAACAGCGGCCAACTCCGTGTTCGGCCACAAGGACGGCCCCAACGCACCGCAGCACTTAAACAGCAGCAACAGCAGTCACCAGGAGCCGTGGAACCGCCTCCACCGCACGCCGCCCTCCTTCCCCACGCCGCCGCCCTGGCTGAAGCCCGGAGACTCTGAGAGGAGCGCCTCAGTCAGCTCGCATGAGAGGGATCGGGACTCGGATAAGCGGGACTCCGTCGGTAAAGATGACAAAGAGAGGTGAGTGCTCCAGAGATGTCCAATTAGTCTCCATTTCTTTATCTTTTGAGAGAACAAAAAATGGACCATTTGCACTATCAGTCAAATTTTCTTAGCAATCACTAATGAACTCAACAAATGATCCAACACTTTGCCATAGTCATTGTCTGGTCTTCACATTCAGCTCTTCTCCACTGATATCAATGGTACTGACCGTAACAAATATTTAAAGTTGGGGTGAGCCGATAAATCAGCCCTGATCTCCTTGATGTTTTATGATTGTCATTTTGCCGATATTGAAGGGTCTATTCAACCGAAGCTGGACAGCCGATGTACAATCACATGATTGTGGACCGAACGTATTCAGACACATCTTTGAACAACGTAGACCACTTTGGGGGACACTCTTCCGGCTTCTGCTTATTCTATTTTGCTTTTATGAAACGGTCACAGAAAGAGCGCCACATATTTCTGCAGACAGAATCCTCCTTGGACAACAGTGTTGCAGTTTCCATTAGCCATTTGTTAGGCTTATTATTATCGTAGATGTAGTGAAGAACCAATTCCTCATTATGTCACAATGACAAACACATTAGGTCACAGTGGAGCGTGCTTAACAATGACACAACTGTTGCCAACTTAGCAACTTTTCTGCTTTATTCAGGGGCTTTTAAGTAAAGAAAAAAATAATCTGTAACAGCCAGAATCGGCCGATCAGGTTTTCTAAAGATTAGTGCACCCCTAGTTTAAAGTGAACCGGAGAAAAACTGCCAAAGTTCCCTTTTAAGAGGTGTTGGCCTTTCCTCAGGTAAAACGATAAGAATGTATCTAACTTTTTTTTTTAATAAGTGGAGATGTAATTATTCTGGGTTACTGTGCTGCAAGCTAATGAGGACGACTTCCTTTGTGTTCTTCTAGGGACTCGGTAGAGAAGCGCCAGCCAAGCCATCCATCCCCGGTCCCCGTCCATCCAATCAACCTCCTCGGCCACACCCGACCCCCTGAGCACCACAGAAACCACCTGCCTCCCACTTCTGGGGACCCTCAGAGGGACAAGGAAACGAAGGCCAAAGACAGAGAAAGGGAGCACCAAGACTCTTGGAAGGACAACGCAGATGACCACAAGCTTAAAGACAATCAGCACAGTGACAAGGACGCACCAGTCATCCATGATGGCCGAGTGTCTGAGGACAAGGTGACCAGCAGGGGAACCACGTCGCCCTACGTTCGGCAGACCAGCCTGGAGCGTCCTAATGGCGGTCTGAGCAGGGAGGTCCTGGAGAAGAAGGCGGAGCCACCATACGAGCAGCAGAAGAAGAACAGTGAGATCAAAGTGAAGGAGGAGAGGAAGGAGGAGCAGGATGGGGCAGTAGAGAGGATCAGTGAACCCCCGACACAGGCACCCTCCACTCCAACGCTCCACCCACCCTCCTCGGTGCCCGTTCCAATGGGAATGCCAGGGGTCCACCCCATCAACAGCATCAGTGGTCTGGAGAGAACTCGTGTTGTGGCCCCCTTCATGGGTGCCAGCCCCCTTCCTGGGGCTGAGAGGTTTCCCTATCCCGCTTTCCACTGGGACCCAATGAGAGACCCTTACCGAGGCCTGGACATCCACAGAAGGGACCCTTTGGCCAGGGACCTTCTGCTGAGGAACGACTCTCTGCACCGGCTTGCGGTTCCACGCCTTTACGAGGCCGAGCGCTCCTACCGGGACCGGGAGCCTCACGACTTCAACCGCGACCATGTCCATTCTCTGGCCCTGGAGCAGCGGAGGGAGCAGGAGCGCGCACAACTGGAAGAACGCGACCGCCTCAACATGCTCAGAGAGGACTACGAGCACGGCCGCCTCCATCCCTCCATGCACCATCCGGTCCTGGACGGACACCTTCCTCACCCCGCCTCGGGCCTTATGGGCCCGGGGCTCCCAGGCATGCACTACTCCAGGGTGAGCCCATCAGCTGCAGCAGCCGCTGCTGCCGCGGCGCATCAGAACAGCATCTTAAACAAAACGCCACCCACAGCGTCGCTAAGCGCTCCCCCGCCTCTCATCCCGACCCTGGGTGCCCGGCCCGGTTCCCCCAGACGGACTACTCCGCTGGCCACAGACATCAGGGACAGACCGACTCACAAAGACATCGAGGCGCGATGAGTTGTGTCGGCGTTCCCGTCAGCCCAGTGCCTCACCGTCACTAAACTCACACCCAGCACTTAGCTTTGGACAAAGCGAGACTGTAACATAGCTGTGAATAATTTATGTAGGCAGACGTGTCTACACATGTTTTTGTATAAAACTAAAATGAAAGGACCTTTGTTTTTTTGTTGTTGTTTTTTTTAGTTTGCTCCATGGTTTTGTGTGTTTATCCTGTATAGCAAAAGTGATGTGGAGTAAGACTAAACTTTGGAATGTACAGCTACTTTAGCACTGACAGTCATGTAGATAATGTACAGTCGCTGTTGCTCACTCTGTATGGATTGAAAAATCATGGTACAAATATGCAAAAGAGTGTTTCGAAAGCTTTACTTTGACTAAATGTAAATCTAGAAGTATTAAGGCTTTGATTCAGAATGTGCTTTTTGCTATTTGTTTTCTTTTCAGCATGTTCCAGATACCCCACACCCCCACATACAACTATGCAAACAAACGTCTGGGCTCCTGTTCTGAAAGCTGGCCTTCTCAGCGCTGCTGATCGTGCACCAATAGAGGAAAAGATGGCTGAATTCTCTTCACCACACAAAATTCATAGTGAAACACACAAGCTTTAAATGGGACCTACTATGCTTCCTTGATCAGGTTACGATAGGTCAGCGCATGTTCGTTACAAAATCACTCCTGAATAAGGAGACTTTATGCTGTTTTAGAGCTTCGTCGCTTTAAATCCAAATAAGCTTCTGCTGTCCACGCCCCCTAACTCAATGTTTACACTCACAAGAGAAAATGATTGCAAACTGATGCACAATTATATTACCATTTGTCTTTGAAAAGCAGAAATGGAGCCTCCTGCACAAGCAACAATAGTACACCAAGTGGTTTTGAGATTGTAAGTCAAAAACACTTGTCTTTTCCAGCAGCCATTGCACAGCCCATACTGTGGTAAAACCTCCTGACCAAACATGATGAAGATCAGGTTCTGGGGTTGGTCTGCTGATTTGTGGCGTTACATTCTGAGGGTTTTTGAAATAGATCCTTTACAAGACACCAAAAAACATTAACTTATTGCCAAAAACTGGCTGGATGTTTTCTTTTTTAAGCACTTGGGCTGTTTTTAAAAGTGCAAAAACTTGCAAAAATGTGAAGTTGGCATAATAGGTCCCCTTTAACTGCTCCACGTTCTCGGATTCAACTAAATGATCGTTTTTAAGAATGATCCTATCATTGTAGTGACAATCTGCATTCCTGTATTGAATCCTAAAGTATTTTCTTAAATGTAGCTTCTCAATGAATAGTTTATTTTGTCTCCCATCGTTCTGGTTCTGGGGGGGGGAATGCAGCCCAGTCAACACCAGGAAGGCACGTTAGCCCAGCTGATGGTGTGTAAAGTACATGTTTCGGGAATGAAGTTCTGTTGGTCGGACAGTGTAATTAAGTGCTTTCCTAAGTTGTCATACCTACAAATACAAAAAGACAAAAAAAAAAAGCAAGTCTGAGCTACGGGCCGTTCGTTTCTAACTCGCAGAGATCTATTTTAGTAGTTCCTGAAGGTTTTAGTTGTGCGCTTCAAAAGAAAAACAAAAAAACAAACAAACAAAAAAAAACTCTGTGATATCATGTTGTGCAGTGGGTTTTTTTTTTTAATCTATTGATAAAATTGTCCACCAGAGCCATAGTGGTTAGTTAATGCGTAATGCAAAAAGATTGTTACCTGAGAAACTCTTTTGCTGTTTACCGTGTACAGAGGGAGAAAAAAAAAAACTTTCTAGCTCATGTACAAAAAAAAAATGAAGCGACTGAATCTTCAGCATGTTCCTCATTTAAACTTGTGATATGTAAATTGTGCCATGTTATTAAAAAATGTGTACTTTAGCTGTCTTTGAGCCATTTTGTCATGTTGCAACCGAAACAAGATCTGCTGAAGTCACCCTCAATCAGCACAGTGAACCCCGGGAAGTAATCACACCGCTTCCTTTGTCCCACATGTTGTTCTTACAAACTGTATTCAATTAATCTCTCCTCAAATTTTTACGCACTAATAACTAATGAAAATTGTGGGGGAAAAAACATTTTTGAGAGTACTTCAAATGTATTAAAAATGAAAAAAAAAATCAAGATCACATTTATGTAAGTATTCACAGCCTTTGCTTAATAGTTTCTTGGTCCACCATTGGCAGCAATTTATTCATCGTCGTGAAATCAAAGGAACTGCCTGTAGACCTCTGAGACAGGATTGACTTGAGGCACAAATCTGGGGAAGGATCCAGAAACATTTCTGCTTCCTCCATTATCATCGATCGATATTGAAACCAGCAGGATTCTTCCTGAGCAACTTTGTAAGAAAGTCCTCAGTCAGAGAGGAGACTCAATGGTCAGTCTTGTCAGAACGCCGGTGCAGAAAGAGGGGAACCTTCCAGAAAGGCATCAATCCACCAATCAGGCGTGAATAGATCAGCCAATTGTAACGCAATCCTTACATCATAATCACTTAGATGCTTTTCTATAGAGATGGAGCAAATTTTTCAGATTTCTATCCTCATCCTTTCAATTCATAATCATGCATTTAGTCCATCACTTAAAATCCAAATTCAAAAGTTTTGCATTTCTATGATCATACAGTTGGAAGAGGTATACACACTTAAAAGATGTAATTTGTGTGAAATTTCATTCTCTGTATTCCGCAGAGGAAACCTGAGAACAGCGCTCATCTGAAAAACAATCCATTACATTATTCATTGCTTTTAAAGGAATTTAATTCAATCCAGAGTACCTTTCACAGTTCCCTGTGCTGCAGCAGAAAGAGCTGGCACACTGCAAAATGACTCTGACAAGTGACTGCTGGTGCTTGGCTCAATAACGGTGCTCTGAAAACATCAGCAGCCTTCGCCGATGAATCATGGCACAGTGATTGTGTATTCATCAGAGGATGCAAGAGTTATTGACATTCCCATTACACTTAATAACCACAGCATTCATGCACCCTTCTCTGACTAATGTTTAGCACTGAGTCAGGCATCCATCAAAAGCAGACTCGATCCATTACTGCGGGGAAATGTGAGTTGCTTTTATTCCCTCCAAGTAAATACCTCCTGCCTCTGAGACCGACTCTAATTTTCCATTTTACAGACATAAAAGGCTCTAGAGGGCTTTTTAAATGGGAGGTGTGCTGTAAATAGTTCAGCTTAGTTAATAGATGTGGAGAAATGCATTAGCTGTCAGCTTTCTCCAATAAAATGAATGTGTCGGCTTTGAGAGATTTTCCTTCTGTTATTGGAGTCTGATCTGAACCTGGTAAATACCAGGGCCTGAACATGGATGCTAATGCTAATTCAGCATCTCAATGCAGCCCAAAAAGATTTGCTTGCTTCCTCGGCTTCATTGCTGAAACTACAAGCAGACTACAATTATTTAAAAAAAGAAAAAAAGTCATCATTTACAACTTCTATTCTTGTTCGCTGATTGGCCCAGTAGAAATTCTAGCAGAGGGAATCCAAGTAAATGGGAGAAACTGCCTGTGAAGTGACATTTTAATCAAGCGGAACGGTGCAGGAAGCCGATGGCCCTTTAGGTCTGGCCATAGTGATGTGCACAATTAAGACGTATGTTGTAATTTGGAGGACTCAAAATTAGCTCTCACCAGAAATTCTGAATCAAGGTTCGGTAAGGTTCTTGTTATTATTCTTACATGTGGCTGCACTGGGCTCGCTTTTGCTTGAAGGAAGTGTTTTGTAAGAAGTGGGAGTAAGTTTATGAAATTATTTTGAGTCCATAGTCAAACATAAACAGGTCTAATTGGGTTACTTTTAATAATAACCCAGAATCTCAGACAAAGCAAACATTACTGATCCAACCACAGAACCTGAAAATAAACAACATGTTGATGCTGATTGTGTTGTCATTGTACTACATTTTAACCGACCGTAAAATAAAATGTCTCAGTATGATGAGCCTATTGCATTTACTTTGTTTCAGTTCAGCCAGAAACCCAGCTCTCAAATCTGGAACGCTGCAGTTTGGGATGTTCACCAGTGGAGGGCGACAAACATTTACAAGGTTTGACACATTTAGACCCAATGAGACTGTTTCATTAAAGCAAAGAGTTACACAAATGTGTAGATATATTGCAAAATCCTTACGTTTTTTTTGCAATATGCCGACTGGTTATTATTTCCCCACTGGAAAATAAAAAAAAAAAAAAAAAAAAGAAAAGAATGATTTTTCTTGCAATAATACCAAACATAAATCCTTTCAGTCCTTTTGAATGCAGCACTTTCTTGAAGTGAGATAAATATATCCAGGACGTTAACCCATTGCGATCCTTATGTCACTCTAACTGCAGCTCCGGTGTCTTTTATAATCTCAAAATAATGATTCGTTTCCCATGTCCTGATCCCATTTGCTCCACTCTAATACAGACTACTGAAAACTAAAACAGCTTCATCTGACAGGTGACAAAACTGTGCAATAAAGCTAAAAAAACAACACATTAAACACTTCCTGGCACTGTTACTAGATCTAATCAAACTGAACTGCAGCTGGGGTTTTTCACCGCGTATCCTATTCTTTTGATGTTTCCAGGACGTTCCTATTGGTAATCCATGACTTCCCGTTTCCCTGGGGTATAATTAAGACAGGACAGGGAGACTCATTCTTCTTCTAACCCAAAGCAAAAACAACATCAGATTTAAGTAAAGTAGATGTGTGTTGAAAATTAGAAATGGCAACAAAATAAAAGCAGCAGTTGAGCCTAAAATTGTTTATGTTATCGGCAGATTTTGGTTTAGGGAACTCATTTACCTTTACCAACATGTTTCTTGTGGCTGTAGGAATCATTAACGTTTGGAGAGGCCCAGCCAGAATCCCGACTTAACGGTGATAAAGCTTAGGGTGATGGTAAGGAGGCCTTTCTAGCCTTAAAGATAATTTACCAGTGAAAACATGGAAAAGCTGGACAGAATTTTTAAAAAGGGTTTGAAGACACTGCCAAACCTTTCTTTTTTTAATTTTTTTTATTTGTGATGAAAACAAACATAACCATGATACCTGCCAGGTACTCTTAAAAAGTACATGTCATCATTGTACCACAAGGTTCAGTGGGGTTTTTTTTTTCACTTTTTTATTTTAACTTTAGATAAATAACATATTTATGTAAATACGTAAACAGCAGAGAAAAGGAACAAAGGAATTAACATGTTGCACTTTCTTAATTATTAAATATTATATTGTTCTGATAATAGTTTGGAGCTGCTGATTATGATGGAAGGAGAATTAGGACCTTTAATTAACTGGTTTACAAAAAAAATAAATCAAAACTAAGCTTTGATAAATAAGTAATATTTGATAAAAAAAAAAAAAAAAAGGAAAAATAGTTTTAAGCTTATAATAAAAAACATTAAAATACAAAGAGTGCCTGAAATAAACTTTTTCGGAACGATTCTTGGTAACAACTTGCTTTGTTACCAAGTTGCTCATGTTAACAAAATAAAAGCTAATATGTCAACAACTGCAATATAAAATTTTGTAAATATTAAAATAAAATTATTGTGCATACTTTCAACATGAATTATTGTGTGGAGAACTGAGCAAATGCAAACACAAAACCTGCTTCAGAAGGAAGATGTGACCAAACGGGCCGGTCACAATAACTGATTTTGCAGGGCAATAAATTATCGCAGGAGTTATCGCGATAAATGATAAAATTGTAGTTTAGACACTATCTTTAAATAAAATATTGTTCATGGAATAATAATGTGAGAACACATCCTCAAAAATCAATAAACTTTAAATTCTAATGTACATTTAACACAAAGACATTTTATTTATCCAAACATAAATAAACAAAACAACAAATAAAATGGACACTGAACTTTCTCAAAACAAAAATGTCCTTCAGAAAAAAGGACTGGCTGAGACCAAAACACCAGACAGATGACTTTTGTCATCCAGATTTAGGTAGAAAGAGAGCCAGGACAGAGAAGATTGGCTCATTTTAATTTATTATGCAATTAATCAATTTATGACCAAATACACTCAGGAACCAAAACAAAACCCAGATCTAAATCCTAGAAATCCTGAGTCTGAGACAAGAACCATGACTCCCAAACACTGAGAAACCTTGGGATTTTTCCTCTGGATTAGATCATATTACTTCAATACATATGAATTCAACTTACGGGCTTTTCCACATTTTTACAAAGAGAAGCCAATAAATGCAGAGAGCTCTGCAGTAATCCCCCAAGAATTTCAAACACATCTGAAACGTCAACAGAGACGGCGTGGAGCCGCGTGTAGAAACTACACAAAACACCAGCACTGCTAACCCACAATCATCCTATGTTGTCATTAAAATTAAACAATGTTCACTGCAAAACCAATTGAATAATTGATCCTTTATGAGCATTTGAAAGAAAGACCAGCGATAATAAATCAGCATACAATAAGTTATTAACTTTATCAAACAACAAATTGGCTCAATCTACGATCTACAGCTTTTAGATGAAATATAATAATACTAAATGTTTGCCATTTTTCCCTTGGGTATTTGTTTTTTTGGGTGGGGTCCAGAACCGGAAGATCAGCAATGATGTGATTATGCATTGTTCTAAAAAGGTTGAAATTAATTCTCAGAGGTTTGAAAGGAATCCTTGAGGCTGTCATAGATATTTAAAAAATAAAAAAATCCCATCAAGTTCTGAAAACCTCCCAGTGGTTTCTGCCTTGTGAACACAAGGTGGCACCAAAGTACCAGCATGTAAAGTAAGGCAGACGGAAACAGGCAGGGAAGACTTGAACTGTCATCATGTGCTCTATGGCAGGTGGAGGCCACCTGAAATAGGAGACTAACCGGTTTGACGGCTCCACTTCCTCTGACC